CCGCCTCCACCTGCAGCAGCTCGTCGCCCTCCCAACGCCGCCAAGAAGATTCTCCCAAGCTGCTATCCGCAATTATTTATGTTTAGTAGAAATTGGGATGATGATTTTGATTTTTGAATGTTCATGAATGAATAAATGATGATTGAATGTTGAATGATGATTTTGGTGAATTGGTGATGATTTTGAATGATTAATGATGATGATTAGTGATTAGTGATTGAAATGTAGGTTTGAGCTTCTAATTTTAGGTTTTTTGTTTTTTTGTTTTTGCTGAATGATGAATGATTTAGAAATTTACAATGATGATTTATAGTGAATGATGATTGATTTATGATTGAAGAATGATGATTTTGATGAGTGATGATGATTTTGTGTAACTGTTGATGTAGGGCGAAACCTCCGGCTCCACGTGGTGGACGTGGCAGACGAGGTGCACCTTCCGCTGAGACTGTTTCTCGTGGTGGGAGACCTCCGGCTCCTCGAGGTCGTGGTGGTGCAAGTGCCTCAGCTCCTCCTGCTCATAATCGCGGTCGTGGTGGACGTACAGGAAGTCGGCCTATTCAGCCTGCCGAATCGTCGGCCTCGGCATCAATTGCATCGACTCCCGCCCATGCCGATAGTGGAACTACACCTGCTGCTGAGACTCCTTCAGTAGAAACGGTTAATCCGGCTTCAAATAAAGTTAAAGACGATCCCTTCAATCTAGAGAAATGGTTGGAGACAAAGGGTACAGCTGATTGCTGGAAGGATTTTACGAAGGTGGCGGTGGATGAGTATCCGATGGGAGAGTGCAGGCATTGTCATACTAAAATCAAAGCACATCCATCCAAGAACGGCACTTCTGCAATGAATAACCATCGGAAATCATGTTTGGCTAAGGTTGCAGCATCCAGAGATCAAACTGTTCTGAACTTGCAGGCCGCAGATGGTAGTCAAAGTCAAGTAAGTGCTTTATGAAAGTTTGATCAAGCAAAAGCAAGATATGCCTTAGCCATGATTATGATTATGGATGAATTGTCTTTTCGCTTTGTGGAAAGAGAAGGGTTTAAGCAGTTTATGCAAACGGTTCAGCCACTGTTTAAGATACCTGGGAGGAGAGGTATAAGAGATGATTTCTTTCATATATTCTTGGAGAAAAAGATGAATTTGATAGAGTTTTTTTAATCAAAGAGCAAAGGCAGAGTTTCAATCACCACAGATACATGGAAATCTGACAACAACAAAAATTACATGTGTGTGATTGCTCACTTTGTTGGAGTGATTGGAAGTTGCAGAAGAAGGTTCTCTCCTTTGTTTCCATCACAAGTCATACAGGAAATGATATTACAGAGAAGCTGGCAGAAATTCTTGAAGAATGGAAGGTGAAGAATTTGTTCTGCATGACCATGGACAATGCATCTACAAATGATATTGTGAGTGATTGCATGAGAAGGAAATTGAAGGAGTGGGGTGTGATTTGGTGGATGGGAAGTATCTGTAGTTTCGATGTGTCGCACACATCATTAATCTGGTGGTGCAGGATGGATTGAAAGTAATCGGAGGAGATGTGGATAGAGTTCGGGATTGTGTGAAGTGGGTGAGGTCATCGCCAGATAGGTTGGCAAGGTTCAAGACTGCCATGCAATTTCTGGAGTTGGATTCTACCAAATTGGTGTGTTTGGATGTACCGACCAGGTGGAACTCCACCTATATCATGTTAGAAGCAGCTGAAAGGTTTGGTGGAGTGTTTACCACTTTGTATACATGATCATTCCTTCAGGGATTATGTTGACGCAAGAGGTGGTATTCCAACTGAACAAGATTGGAGTCTGATTAGTAAGTTGATGAAGTATCTGAAAGTCTTTAATGACTTTACCCTCCTAGTCTCGGGTAAGTGAAATTTTTGCTCACTTTGTTTATTTTAATTTGATCATTTGACAATTTTGGTTTGTTTAAGTCTAATTTCCTTTATTCTATTCTCATTTGTACAGGAACTAAATATGTGACTACCCATCTTTTCTTCAAGAAATTTGTTCCAATTTATGACATCATTCAAGAATTGAAGAATGATCCGCGTGAAGAGCTCAAAAAGATGGCAGAAAAGGTTGAAGAAAAGGTACAAAAGTATTGGTTTGACACACCTGTCATGAATGAGGAGAATCCTCGGGTGGATCATTTAATTTATATAGCATGTGTGTTTGATCCTAGAAGTAAACTTGATCTGGTGTCTGAAGTGTTGGTAATGATTTATGGACGTATCAAAGGAGAGGAAATTCAGGCTACTATTAAAAGGGAGATGTGCCAGATGTTTGATATTTATAAGAGGAAGTATGGATCAGAGTCTGCATCTCAGCCTACCACTGATGATAACATTGGTGATGATGGTTATGTTGATGGTGATCGGATTAAGATATTGGAGGAGAGGCTTAGAAAGAGAAAAAGGGAAGCACTTCTGCTGGAAACAGGAGGTAGCTCTGCTGAGCTTGACATCTATTTGAAATGTCAAACGGATGGCATCAATGAAGAGAGTGATGATGCAAAGTTTGACATATTGGAATGGTGGTCTCGACACTCTGGAATATATCCGATTGTTGCTGAGATGGCTAAGGATGTCCTAGCTGTTCCCATCTCTTCTGTTGCCTCAGAGGCAACATTCAGCTGTGGCGGGCGGATTCTCAGTCCATTCAGGTCCTCTTTGAGCGACCTAATGGTGGAGGCATTGATTTGTGCTGAGGATTGGATAAGGTATCCCAGATCTAGGGAGATTGACGATAAGGAAGATGATGAAGAGAATTTGACTTTGGAAAGTAGTGAGTTCTCAAACTTTCTTATTGTTCAGTTTTTTGCCTTCTTTCCACCTAATTCAATGTATGAATGTACTAACACTTTGTTTTCCTTTTTTCTTTTCTTACTCAGTTAATGTCACTTTCCAAACTAGAATGGAAAGTGCAACGAATACTGGCAATGTTGGCAATGCAAATGCAAGCCTCAACATTCCAGTGGAGAATGAGCAGGAGGGTGAAGAAGATGTACCGGAGGAAGAGTATGAGAAAGATGGATATGATGATTATGGCCATGTCTTGTTGCCCCAATTGAACGAACAAGGTTATGCAGATGTTGGTTCTTCTAAGGCTGGTGATAAGTGATGATAGATTATGATGTGTTGTTGATTTGTTGTTATCTACACCCTAGAGGATTTATTGGGATTTGTGGAGTTTATGTTGTTGAATTAATGAATGTGAGACATTAAGTTGCTAATTTAGATGTATTTTCGATGCAAAAGGAATTTAAATGTAGGTTTGAGATTTTAATTTTAGGCAATTTTAGGTTTTCTTCCCTTGTTGTCCGTTCGGTTTTGGCCAGTTACCGGTCGGTTAGGAAGCTCCAACTGAATCGACCTTCAGATTTCGGTTGCCCAGGTTAAACTGCAACTAAACCAAAAACCGGCCGGTCGGTTTGCGGCTTACCGAGGCTGATGGGACGGTCGGTCAACGGTAGCGGTTGGTCATGTCTTGGTTTAACCGAAAACCGAGATTTTGGTTTTCGGTTTAACCGAAATCGAACGATCGCCACGCCTAAGCACAAGTGTAGATTCTAGAACCATTGCTGGCAGGGAGCCGGTGGAGAAGAAAGAGAGAGCCATATCAGTCAAGCTCTTCCCCACTGTCTGCCACAACTGCTGGTAGAAAGCTGCCTGGTAGCCGTCAGGTCCGGGGCGCCTGATAGGGCTTCATGTCAAACACTACTTTATGGATATCTTGAATTGTGAACGGGCATAGAAGACATTGTAACTCGGACTGGCTCAAGCGAGGAAACGCGTGCTTAGGTTATCTGTCTTCATAAGAGGGAGTATCCTGCATATAGAGATTAGCAATAGACTCAAAGACTAAAACAGCCAATGAAGTAGGATCGTCTACCCATTCTCCATTGGAATCCTGCAAGGCTTTGATCTTGTTGCGTCGTCTCTTAATGTTGGCCTGTTGATGGAAATAGGCAGTATTCCGCTCGCCAAACTTGACCCATTTCTCCCTTCCCCGTTGAAACCACAGGATCTCCTCTTGCTCCAACACCTTGGCCAACCTTGTCTCCAACCTCGAAGCCTCCCCAACAAAAATTAGTAGTTAGTAGAAAACTCAACAACAATCATTAGAGTAAACTACCCATTAAGTACTTAAATAAAGAGAGCATTTTTGTACTTTCTCAAAATTCCACACCAACAAATCCCATACAAATAAAAATTTCCAAACATGGAATTTCGCTCAAATCCCATAAGTCAATTCGTTGATTTTGTAAAACGTGGAAATCAGGACAAATTCCCACGTTATCAAATTTCCATATCCAGACGACCCCTAAGTTTACACGCTTAAGTGAGTCTCTTGCAATGTATCCTATCAAACAATAATTAAAAAACTCATCACCAATTCGACTTCGAAATTAGTTCTTAATATAGCTCAATCAAAAAATGCTCTTTCTACATTTATAGTAGCAATTGATAGTAGCAATTGGTAGAATCAAAACTAATTTCAGAAGCAAATAAACTTATGGATATAACTGATGCATTTTTGTCTCCACCATTACTCGAGATCATTCATTAATTTCTTTATATCCAACAAATCTCTCGTCAGCTACAACTTGTGATACCATGTTGCTTTATGTGTTTTGTGGTTACACCTTTATTTGCTAAACATAGTATTAATGTAAAAAAAGAAAACCAAAATTATTTTCCCCTTCACCTACACATTAATGTCCTCAAAACATTGTTGCTTCCTAGCTAGCACACAGATCCTTTACTTTCTTTCCCACCATGGGCAAGCTCTGGCCTCTTCTGAGGAATACTATGCATCTAATTATTCTTTCCTTTTGCACTTCCACGCACACTTCCTAGCTCTAACTTGTGCAATATTTATGCTCGACAAAGATGGAACAATTCATCTCCAATCCCATAACTCCTCGATCGCTTACAAGCCCACATCTCTCTTGCCCTCCCTTTGTATCAATTCCCCATCGTTACTTATCAAGAAATGGCAGCGTTCAGCTTGACTTCCAACGGCTCTTTCATCAGGACGTTCCGTAACTCTCCAGACATCTGCGTGTTCGATTGCCAGGACGACCCTTCTTCCTTCGACGCTATCCTTTCCCCTCCTTCCCACTGGACATTCCGGGCCAGAATAGGCGATTCCGCACAGTACACCGCCCTCGAACTCTTCGGAACCACAATCCAGGGTGACGAGTTAACCCAACTCGCCGCCGACCTAACCCTGAAATCCAATTCCCAGACGTTTTATCTCATCGTAAACAGAGAGGGACTCTGTTTCCTCTCGGTGGGCGACCCCGTGGTGAAGCGGATCAGGGCCAACGACTACTTCGGCTGGTCCAAATACGGGGTCAAACCCGTAACGGAACCAACCGTGTGGAACAAGATGGAGATGTTCAGTCGCGGAATCGTGGTGGACTTCGAGGAGATGGCTAGATCGTTATCGGAATCGAGAGACAGGGAAGCAGAGCTGTCCCTATCCTTGGTTAGCAAGAAAGAAGAGTTGGAAAGTTGCAAATCGGAACTAGTCGCGAAGCAGAGAGAGTTGTCGGGACTGGAAGCGATTCTTGAACAGGTGAGGAACAATTGTGAGGCGGGGAAGAAAGAGATCAAAGAAGAGGCTGGAGGGGTGAGTGAAAGGGAATCGGCGTGGAAGAAAGTTGCAGGGGAGAAAGAGGCAGAGTTGAGGAGAGTGGAAAGGCAGCTGGTTGGGAAGATGAAGCATGCGGATGCGCTGAAAGGGGCCGTGAACTCGCTGATTAGTTCTATGTGGGATCTCAATAAGGTCTTGCGACAAGAGATTATCTGTTACCGATTGCTGTCGAGTCAGGGAGGCGGAGACAGGGGTGAAGAATCAGAAGAAGAAGAATTAGTGGGCTCTCCGGATCAGCTAATCGCTAGTTCTCGGTGTGGGAGCAATTCCACGCCACATAATGATGACCTCACAGATACTGAATAATCATCCAATTTCATGTGCTGTTGTCTAGAAAGCTTCAGAATGAAACCTCAATTGTATCCGCTGGGAATTAAAACAGAAGAAGTAACTAAAATTTGCGACACTTACGCAGGAACTTAGAGGGACTCTCACATGCAGATTGTTGGAACAATTTATTCTTTTCCTACCATCTTACTAAAGTTAACATTGCATATATAATCTTCATTTGTTAATTGTTGGCGAGTTTGGAAGGCAAGATGTTGGTCCATTCATAAACATATACAGTACCGGGGGTGTGCCCTTCTTCGTCAGTACAGGGCTCAGGTAGATGAATGGACACACGCCACAACTCCTATGACATTACATCAAGAGCCCTTGAGGTCGAGGAGCTAAGATCAGGTGACTAAGGAGGGTCCCCTTAGTCACATGGCTAAGTGAATCTCAACCACTCAACCTCATTAAAATCTAAGGGCTCCTATTAATCCAATTTAATGAAGGGCATTGTAGTAATTGCATGTTTAATTTTTATTTTTAATTATAAAATAATAAAAAAAAGCCAGCCGTCCGCATCGGCCCATCCCTTGCGCAGCTTCGTCTCCGTCCAATTTCTGGGGCAAGAAATTCCTGGGCTCCCATCATCCGCCATTATTCCCTGGAATTCCCCGGGGAGAGAGAGCTGCTGGGAACTCTTTTGGAATTCCCCACTTCAACTACGAGAGAGAGAGGGAGATAGGGAGAGAGAGAGAGGGAGAGAGAGAATATTTTTGGTCGGAAAATTTTCTGGTCGGAAAATTTTTCCGACGAACATCGTCGCCGGAGAAGAATTTCCCGGCGACAGTGCTAATTTTGTGATGTTTGTTGACATATTTTGTAATGTTTGTATGCTTTGTTATTTTGTAATGTTTGTCGGTTTTTTTGTAATGTTTGTAAACTTTGTTATTTTTGTGCACCATGTTTGTAAACTTTGTCATTTTTGTGCACAATGTTCGTAATGTTTTTTATGTCTAAAAAACACACGGGTTGACTTTGGGAAGGAGCCCCTCTATATAGGGATGGAGCCTCCAAAGTCAACCCGGGTGTTTTTTCCCGTTCGTATGGATTGTCAGTCTAGTTTGTCATTTTTGTCCACCATGTTCGTACTGTTTGTATGTCTAAAAAACACCCGGGTTGACTTTGGGAAGGAGCCCCTCTATATAGGGATGGAGCCTCAAAAGTCAACCCGGTTGTTTTTTCTTTTTGTATGGTTTGTATTGTTTGTCGGTCTAGTTTGTATTGTTTGTACAGTTCATACGTTTGTAATGTTTGTAAATCTGTTTGTATGTTTTGTCGCTCTAGTTTGTCCTGTTCGTATGTTTGTATGGTTTGTACTGATTGTAAATCCGGTTTGTATACTTCGTAATTTTCCATAATACCCAAACTACCCCTGTCAATAATTAAATAGCCCTTCCCACTTTTTAACAATTAGATTGAAGTGTCCAGATCTAAGGGCTGGGAGGGGCTTAGTCAAGTGACTAAGCACCCCCCCTTAGTCACCAGATCCGCTCTCGAGGTCGAGCGCTTCTTCTGTCCTCCGTCAAACCCAGACGTTCGCTTCTGCCCGCGATGGTGTATGTCCTACTGGTGGAGTGCTTGTTCGATGTGATGGGTCTTGGAAAAAAGGAGTAGGCAGTGGAATCGGCTTTACGGGTTTCTCTCCTGCAGGTGAGCTCCTCTTCGCAATCAGCAAGTATTACTCAGGATGTCGCTCATGGTGCTGGAGGAGCTCTTCTCGAGGAAATCTGCTTTGCTTCTTCTGCCTTTTCTTGTTTTTCTTGTACTTTTACACCTAGGTTGTACAATAGGGCTGCCCATTTAGTGGCTACTAATGCCCTCTCGTCGGCAATTCGGCTAGCGACCTACTGCCGCGTCTGCTTTTAAGTATCTTGTAATATCTAATTTTACCCTATCTATGCTAAAAAAAAAACTAAAATTTGCATATTCTTCTCTTCTTTTTTTTTTTTTTTTTTGCCATTAGATTCCTCTGAAAAAGAGGGCGAACAAAGTTCACAGATACAAGAAACCTATCTACTACGTAACCAAGCAACATAGTCGAACCTCGTCAATTGACGAGGCGACAAACTCAGAGCATGCTTTGCTACCGAATGAGCTACTCTGTTGTTCAAACGCCCAACAAATTGGAGGGATACCGAGGGAAGAACTTGAAGAAGCAAAACAATTTCCTGGAGCAAAATCCCTATTTTGGAATCGCACATGTCGCCAGCACGACATTTGTCCAGAATGACTTTAGCATCACCTTGAATGTGGATATTCCAAAGCTGAGCCTGAGTACAGTGCACTAGACAATCACGTAAGGCCAGAGCTTCAAGAACATATGGGTCACTGCAGGCAGTATAACGAGTCGCCTTAGCAGCAATGGTATCTCCAGAGATGTGGCGAATGACAAAGCCCAGTTCTTCTCTTCTTTGAATTGAAATAAATAACTAAAAATCATGGGCTTCACAAATTTGATGGGGCCATAAGCCCAGTTCTTCTAAGCTAACGGGAACGATAAGCCCAACTAAATTAAACCCATGGATCTCATCCTACGGGCAGGACCCTTTTTGGGAACTCGGTTTCCATCGAGCCCACGCATTCAGCGTATGCGACAGTCACAGACAGAGACAGGGCAGCCGCCTCCGTCGCCGCCATCCTCTTTCCACTACCATCGCCGTGAAATCTCCCCAAAGCCCTCGCAAGCCGGTGTTTCCAATGCACACTGGAACCTCGCTGTCCCGCTTAACCAGTTCGGTCAGGAAGTTCCTCCTCCCCCTGGTTGCCGCTGGCACCGTCACCACCGCCGCCGCGACGTTCCACGCCTCGAGATTCACAGTTCCTCCAGGCCATCGAGCCGTGATTTTGGACAGATTGCACGGAGTGAGCGGAACCTCTATCGGCGAAGGAACTCACTACACAGTTCCCTGGATCCGGAAGCCCTATATCTTCGATGTGCGCGACAAACCTCATACATTCTCCTGTCTCGCCCACACCAAGGATCTCCAGCCCGTCAATCTCTCCCTTGCCATTTCTCTCCGTCCAGAGGTACCACCCAAACCTTCCAATTTTTGCTTGATTTTACCTCCAAAGTCAAAAGCCCTAATTTGCTTTAACTCCTATTTCTAGTTGTCGAAATTGCCGGAGACCTTCAACCATTTGGGGCTTGACTACGACGAGAAATCCCTCCCTGCGATCTGCAGCGAGGTACAAACCATAGTCGCCAATTACGACGTCGATCAGCTTCTCCTCAAGGAGAATAATAGCGGCGTGTTGGACGATATCCATGGCTCTCTTGTCGAGCGTGCAAAGCGATTCAATGTGCTAGTAGTTGATATCTCGGTTTTAGATGTTTCTTGTGGCGAACAAGTGGCTCAGGCTGTTGAGCAGAAGCAAGTGGCGAGGGTCGAAGCTGAGACGTCCAAGAACCTTGTGGTGAAGGCTGAACACGACAAGGAGGCTGCGGTTAGGAGAGCAGAAGAGGAATTAGAGGCTGCCAAGCAGTTCGCCGAGTTACCAGAGGATGTTCATGAACAGCTACTAGCACAATCGAGGGCTGAGGCGCAGAGGGAAGTTGATAAGGTTCTTGCCATGTTCGAGGATGCCGCCAACAGTTCGAGATCATCGGTGGTGGACGCATCTAATCCAAGCAGCTGATCAAAGGGTGCTCCAAAACTCTTGCTCTTGCTCAGTGGGTTAATTAATGGCAAGTGTCACAGTGGTGTTTGTTATGGTAAGTGAAAATTAGGAATCTTACTTGGAAATTGCTCTGCAAATGTTCTACTACAAGGAACATGAGTGAAGTATAGTTGAGAAGGTGAAATCGGCAAGCATCACAGCAAGTTGGGCTTCACTTCTTTTCAGCATTTTATTCCCTTTCTTGGTTTTTTGGGATGGTGTTAACAGTCCGGCAGCAAGGGAAACTTGAGGCTGGAACGTTTTGACGAGACTTCTAAATCTAATGTCTGACGGTAATGTATAGATAGATGGACAACGAGGCATTGTGAGCTATTTCAGCCAACCCGTATACTGAACATGTTCAGTAGAGGAAAGGAATTGCCCGAACTGAAAATAAACGAACCAAAATATAGATATCGCTAACCTATAACAATGAAACCACATCATTAGAATAGACATGCAATATGCCACCGCCATCCAAATCTAGAAACCTCGTCGCCGTCTCAAGTCCCAACTCCTCTTGTGGAATCCAACTGAGGGAAAACTGACAACGTTTATTCAATACATACTTCAACAATATAGACAAATTTTACTCCCCAACCCATACTTCTCGGCCTCTCTATACTCATCACTAACCCTCATAACATAAATGTAGTACATTACGCAAAAGACTCCTACGGACTTGGACTAAGAAATTATATGACTCATAAATGAGTTAAACGACACAACACGACCTGTAACTTAGTGCGCTTGAAAGACAATTAAAGATGCTAATTAATTGAACTAGCTCGTGATTGCTGAAGTAACCTATTTATCTAGCTAGTCACGGACCCGGCCAGTTGGCCGGATTCAGTTGTCACAAAAATAATATTATCAAATTGTATGTGAGGTACGTAGGTTTTGATAGTATAAGAAAATCTAAATTATTCGAATACTCGAAATATTCGAATTGATCCTTCCCTATCCTGGAAATCGTGTACTCATTTGTTGATTAGCGATGTAATATGCGACCTTGATATCAAACTACAATATATGGTGTCGAAAATGAATGTACGGGTTTTTTTACTTCTTCTCAGAAAATATTTCAACAAATATGGAGTAGATTTTGATTGGTGGGATGAGTCTATGGTAAGCGGTTTCCCGTACAATATGGTTCGGGGGTCATTCCCTCAATTTGTAAGAGATGAGCAGGTGGTAGTCCGTAGTCCTCTCATTCTATCTTTATCTTGGAATAGCCTTTCAGTAGACATTCCAGAAATTCCATCTCGCACTCGATCCTTAACAACAAAGTTAGCCTCAGTGGTTTTGTCCACAACTCGAAGGTGGATCCTGAATAAGTATAATGTTTTTTTTTGTCATAGATAGTTAATAATAGATAGAGTGTTACAATGCAGTGGAAAAATAAAGGCGGTAGTCAACCAACTAGGTTGCTACCGATGCAAGGACCGTTTGTGCCACGCGATGGGCAGCCCTGTTAGTTTGCCTAGTAACATAGATAAACCAAAAACGCAAAGAAAGTCTTCTTTCAGCAAACTCCTTCAAGCACCAAGTCATCGAGTTCCAATAGCCTAGCAGTAGATTTGATATGCAAGGTACCTGCAAAATAACACGCAGACAACCCCTAACGGAACAAACAAAATTAAAATACAATCGGGCCTCCACCGAAAATGCTACACAAGCTATACAGACTATGCCTTCTGCAACACAAACAAATATGGCAAAGCCAACTAGTAGAAGAAATATACTCCATGTCGGACGACAAGCAAATCCTCACTATCATTAAAAGACACCGAATTCCAAAACAATTGCAACTCCCATCAAAAATACCAAACACAATCGTAAACATAATAATAATTAAATATAAATTTAAGAAAGAATTAATAGACTTATCTGAATGCAGGATAGGATCCGTGTTTGAAAGTGTGACTGCCTATCCATTAGAATTTTAACCGCCATGAAATTATAACCGTCCGAAGGCCCGAGCGTTTTGAACAAGAATGAAGCCACGGGAAAGGTAACTGTACAAAGATGTAACTGCAGCCCACTAGCCTGGCCGATCGTCGGCAAGACTCGTCATCCGCCGAAAAGACTCACCGAAGACCCCAGCCCACAACTCCTGCAAAAAATAGGCAAAACTCACCGGAAAAGGGTGTTAGAGATGGGGAAACGCCACGAGCGGCTACGCACAAGGGCGTTGGGCAGCAAATTGCTGGAGCGCACAGTTGCGGAGAGAAGTAAAAATCAAAATCGGCCGAACTCGACCCTTCTATCGGGAATCATCGTGAGTGCGTGAACTTCTTATCTGACACGGGATTAGCGGAAGAACCTCCCCAAATGTGTAACTGTCATAGTTGTATCTTCTTGAATTGTAACCGCCGAACTTATAGAGATCGACCTCGGCGATTCAGTACTTGTTCTTTCCTTGGATGTAATCAAACAGTGAGAGGAAGCCGGTTGTGGAGGCGTCGACGAGGGAGATGTCCTCGCCGCTACTTCTTGTTGAAAGTGCTCAATATCTTACGCAACGTCGATCTCGCCATCTTTGCCAGATTGCCGTAATTTTGCGCCGCCCAAGCCGCTCTCTCGGCGTCGGATCTGGCCGAGGTCAACCCGCCCAGGACCGAAATCAGGCTGTTCAGATCCGAAACGGCGCCGAGCAGCTCACTGTACTCGAAGTCCCTCCACGCGTAGTCCCAACCGATTGACCAGGCGAATCCCCAGATCCCCAATTCGAGTCCTCGCTCCAGCTTCTCGGCGATGAGATGGGCGCGGTTCGCGCCGGCGACGTCGCCGCGGGCGGCGCGGAGGTTGGAGACGCCGGTGAGGAGGGAGTGGATTCCGAAAGAAACCCTCTTCCTCCGGGTGTGGACTCTTCTGAATAAGTATAATGTTAGTAATGACATAAACAACAATAGAAACTTATAATTTTTTGGACATGTTTCACATGCACCATAACACCACCCTCTTAACTTTGACAACTTTGTTTTTGACGGAATACATATTCCCCTACATATTACATAAAATGTTAGCATTTGATAGATAATGGGTCGTTAAATCAAAATTTATTCTCTATTCTCCATTTTAAATTGATTCAGCATTTGCCGTGTTTTGTTCGAAATTTGTTGTTGAGGTGTTTTGTACTTTTCACGGGAAGAGGGATCATACACAGTTTTACAAAAAAAAAAGGAATGCTAATTAATTACTTTTTCTGTTTGAAACTTCAACTTATAACGTGAAACCAAGTACGGTGATTAAATTGTCATTAATTTCATATTGACCCAAAATTAATGACTTCTTGAATTCTTGGAATCGCCAACAATAAATCATATATAATAGAGTTACCTTGACAAAATAGAGTTACCTTGACAACCACATTTGCAAGGATGACTTATAACGTGAGAAGGAGGTTACCCACATTTGCAAGGATGACATTAAATAACGCAACTATCCTACAAAATAGAGTTACCTTGACAACCAATCTCGTGCACCCAAATTGTATATTATATTTGCAATTAGAGTTAAAGTAATGCATACTATTTTAAATTGAAAATAAAAAGAATTACTTGCTTTGGAAGTTTTAGTTGGAGCCTTCTTGCTAGTAATTTTTCCAGTGAGTGTTAGATGTCAATAAATCCGAATATAAAATAAGCTGGCCAATAACATACGTTGAATAAAAAAAATTCTAAGTTAATTAATTTTTTTGAATGTATACGTATTAGATTGAAGTAAATTTGAATTGAGAATAGTAATTCAAACTCAAAAGAAATTTTATTTGGTTTCACTTCTTGTCAATCTTGTATTGTTAGATGATTTTTCTTTCGTAAGATGGTATGGTTGGAATATCATCGCAATGATTCGGCTTCTGTATTTGATTCAAACTTGATGATCAATTTGTTTGGAATTGCCATGTAATCTCCCGTTGTCATACTGGCCATAAATTCTTGATAATGCAAACTCTCTTGTCACAAAATAGGGGATGAAAGTCCTTGATTTTTCCTTTGAGAATTTGCACCCAAATATCATTATCATGAAAAAACAGGATTATTAATACATTTTCAAATTCGAATTGTAGAGTTGAATTCCGTGGTTGTTGTTAGTTTATACTTTCAGTCAATAACTATTGTTGGGGGTATTACTAAGATACTCTCCGCACGGACTAAGTAGTAGGACGCACAATCGGCGATGCCCAACGCTCGATACCCGCTACAGGTATATAAGGGCTTGAAGCCCTCCAAAAAGGGGGACTTCTTCTCTCTCCTCACTTGCTACCTTTCACTATCTCTCTACACCTCATCTCTCTACCTTATTCTCTCAACTTTCACCCTAAACATAAGCTAACTTGATCGTTGGAGCTTAATCCGGGGGGCATCCCCGACTCTTTCACAGGTTTCTTCCCTCTCGACGAGATCAGACGAACGGATCGTGAGTCAACCTCACACCAACAAATATCATTGTTCATACCGGAGCTAGATGGTACAAACAATTGGCGCCCACCGTGGGGCTGATTTAGATTCGTTCGTTCGATTGCGGAAGGAGGAAGAGCTCAGAATCTGAAGAGAAGACAGACTTGATCAAAAAAAAAGGAAAAAGGGAGAAAAGCTAGACAGGCTTGTTCGAGAAAATGCCCCAGCCAACAGCTGCCCTTTCCCCAATAGGCAGAAGCTCATAAAAAAAAAATATTGAAAAAAAAATTCGTAGATGAAGAAAGAAAAAGCTTGCGTCCATGAAGAAAGAAAGAAAAAAGAGCCATTCCAAGTTTCAATCTTTCGCCCATGCCTCATCACGATGCCGCCGGCGCTAATTCATTCTCTTCCCCGACTGCGACTCCTGCTCGGTCGCAAAATCATCGAACGACGACAGTAACGACCACAGAGAAAGAGGCCCAGGGAAGCCAATCAATATATATAAAAAAAAACAACGAACAGATTTCGACCGTCGGAGATTGATTTGGATTAGGAGCTCCGACGAGAAGAGGAAGAAGTCTGGTAGTCTCCATTAGCTGTCACGTCGTCCTCCCACAGCTTTTCCCCAGAAAATGGGTTATCTTTGTTTTCACGCCATGTCAGAAAAAGTGATGGACACATATATCGAAGCACGCACAGTTCCCGAGGCAAACGAAGAGCGTCACTGGTCGCCGCGCAATGAACCACCGATCGCCTTCGCAGATGCCCCGCCAATATAGCTTGTCGCACCACTAGTCGCCACCCGACCAAATCGCCTCTGTCAACGCCGAAAAAGAGGAGCGCTCTTTAACCTGGATAAAGAAGCGGCTTCTATATATATAAAAAAAAAGAGGCAGCGATGGGAAGGAGCGCCTAAATTTTTTTGGAGAAAAGAGTGTGTAAAAAGATGATTACACCCACAAGATACGCTTCTCCAACTCAAACTAGGCTGCTGCACGCCTTAGCCGGGCCGGCAAACCTTGCCGTGCCACAAACGTGAGCCTGAACGTCGTGGTACATAAGCTCGGCTCCAAGCCCGCTTGACAACCCGCCATATCACATGGGCTCGCTTCTCGTTCACAAGCGCGCGACAAGGTGGGCCCGACACAAACTCGCGGCTTGCCTCTCGTATGGCCCGCATCAAAGCCCATATTCCGCATCGCTTGAACCGCTCCTAGTCTCCCGCCACAACCTGGCCCGATCCGCCTCAATGGACCCAGTCCGCTACAAGCTTTCAACGCACTTTTGGAAAAGAAAAAGCCACAACCTGGCCCGATCCGCCTCAATGGACCCAGTCCGCTACAAGCTTTCAACGCATGTTTGGAAAAGAAAAAGCAAAAGAGGTGAATCGAACCCGCGCCACTCCTTCAACATTCAAGCAAGCTGACCAGTACACCAGAAGAATTTCTTATTAATTAATGCGCGCCACTGTTATTTGAGTATGCACTGCCACTAGTCCCGCAGCCTCATTCAGTAAGTTCCGCCAGCATCGAACTCACGGCCCGAAAGGCCACCCGTTCTCGTTCAACATGAGCCCGATCCACCTCCAAGATCGCACCAACCAGGTTCGCGATACTGTATTTATCACAATTGGCCTGTCTCCATCCAGTCCGCCCCAAACTCGTGGCCACGCGCGCCATATGGGCATTTCAGAGCCCTGTCGCGCCTCGCAGCCCACACACATCACATGGGCTTGCGCCCGGGCGCAGGGCCCACACACAACTCGCGGCCCAGGTCCTGGATTGCAATCCGCGCCTAACACCGGGCTTTGCCCCACTTCTGCCTCAACAACAGCGTAGATGAAGCCCAAGTCGCGGCCCGCACTCGCGAATCCAAGTCCGCCCCGTCCATCTTGCTCCACTCCGCCCGCTCAGCTTCCTCGCGTAGATGAAGCCTAAGTCGCGGCCTGCACTCGGGGATCCAAGTCCGCCCCGTCCATCCTTGCTCCACTCCGAGCCAAAAATATTATTGCCGCCGTCAGGAATTGAACCCGCGTAGCTCCCCCACCAGACAAGCAACATTACCAGTAGACTACATATGCGCCTTATAATCCTTAAGCGCAACACTCTTATTTTAACAACTCTTCGCGCCGCTTCGCCAACATAAAGCTAAGTACACTATCCCTCTATCATTATTAAATTTTTAAATATTTTACTTTCCTGAGCGTTAATGGCGCTAATGGGGGGCAAGACGTACCCAACAACGTGGGAGATGAGAAACTCACCAAGCTCTCGACGCCTTGAAGACTCCAAACTGAGGGTTAAAAACCCCGACGAGGAGAGGGCACATTGCCTTGAAGACTCCAAACTGAGGGTTAAAAACCCCGACGAGGAGAGGGCACATTGGCTCGGTGAAGCTACAAATAAGTCTCAACGAAGCACACAAATAAGACTTCAATAAGAGCATCGAAGATCTACAAATAAGTCTCAACGAAGCACACAAGTAAGATTTCAATAAGAGCATCGAAGAAGCTACAAATAAGTCTCAACGAAGCACACAAATAAGACTTCAATAAGAGCATCGAAGATCTACAAATAAGTCTCAACGAAGCACACAAGTAAGACTTCAATAAGAGCATCGAAGAAGCTACAAATAAGTCTCAACGAAGCACACAAATAAGACTTCAATAAGAGCATCGAAGATCTACAAATAAGTCTCAACGAAGCACCAAATAAGACTTCAATAAGAGCAACGATGAATCTACAATATGAGAGTGTTCAACTACCTCTATCTCCAATAAAGGGCACTAAACGTGCGCTGTAAGCCCGTAACATAATCGGGCGGCTGTCACAAACACAACAATGAAAGAGTACACACTTGTGTGTGTGTATGTGAAGAACTCCAATAGGAGAGCGCTCAATACCTTGGAAATTTTTCAACAAGCAATGGCTCAGCGCCTTGGAGATTCCAATAGAAGAGCGCTCAACGGCTTAATGAAACACACCAACTGGGGGGCATGACGCAGAAAGCTGGCAGCGCGTCAGCCAAACGTGCCACCAGCTGGGGGGCAACTGGGGGTACATAGGGCTCCATCCAAAATTACCGTCGAAGATTTAAAAAAAGAAGAAGCTAGTGATGAGTTAAAACTCACCACCAGCTTGGGGGGCAATCGTTGGGGGTGTTACTAAGATACTCTGCGCACGGACTAAGTAGTAGGACGCACAATCGGCGATGCCTAACGCTCGATACCCGCTACAGGTATATAAGGGCTTGAAGCCCTCCAAAAAGGGGGACTTCTTTTCTCTCCTCACTTGCTACCTTTCACTATCTCTCTACACCTCATCTCTCTACCTTATTCTCTCAACTTTCACCTAAACGTAAGCTAACTTGATCGTCGGAGCTTAATCCGGGGGGAATCCCCGGCTCTTTCACAGGTTTCTTCCCTCCCGACGAGATCAAACGAACGGATCGTGAGTCAACCTCACACCAACAAATATCATTGTTCATACCGGAGCTAGATG